AAAGCTAAAAAAAACACCCTTTGAAAAACTACAAAGTACCCCAAAAAGTCCTCTATATTAAAGAAAACATAAAAGGTATTCGTTGAAGAACGAAAAAGTACTAAAAGATCGCATTTAGATACTCACACAACTGTGGACCTTCATGTTCAATTTCATGTTTCTAGGTTCAATATTATAGAAAATTCAAAAAGTACCTTTGAAGAACACTTTATCGTTCCATGTTGTATATTCTCATTAAACGTTTAATTAATACCAGTAAAAGATCGAAAAAGTAACCAAAAGTCTCATATTATAAGTGTATAATGCCTTTAGGAAGGCCTCTTTACTGCCACTTTTTCCCGCTGCGAACTGCTGGCTGCCATGTTACCACGCCAACTGCTATTGAAAATAAATTAACTTTTGTCATCTCGTATTCATTTAATCCGGATTATCTACATGGCGTTGCTCTTGCGGAATGGGCTAATGGACTGTTAAAGTTGCATTTTTTGCTTTAAATGTGACATATGTAGATCTTCTTGATATTCTGTAAGTAATAATCATATGTATTTTCAAAAACCTTTTATTTGGGAAAATATACTAGAGATCAGGATGCACTAAGTTATTACATCATGCTAGAGATGTTTAGTTTTATTTTAATGATTGTGTTAAAATGTAAACATTAGAGGATAAATACTTGTTGACTTCCAAATATTCCTTGTTATTACCTACCTTTGGGGGTATAGTGATGGCTTTTTGTTATTGTTTGAAAACGACTGCTAAAGTTGAAAAAACAAACTGGACAAATTATTCTGCCATGAAATAATCCATAATAGAAAAAAGTTGACGCCCATCGGTAGTGGCTAGTCGAAATTCGTATTCTATCAAGCAAAGAGCCAAAATATGGTGATTGCTACTTTGTTGCAATGTTTGGTTCCGGTACTAACCATTGTGGGCTTTATGTCGACTATAGATCCCTTAGAGTTGTCACACTATATGAATCATTTAAATGAACCCTTCAAGATTTATTGCGTCATAATATAAAAGAAGAAAAACAACGTTTATTTGAAGTTATTCCTTCCGATCACTTGATATCCTTTTGTCTGTATCAATAATGGAAAAATAACTTTAGAAATGAGGAATTGGTTTTTGATTTTAATATAATTTCATTTTGAATGGCCTGTTGGAACAGGACTGTAATATCCGTACTCAATTGGTTGGATCCTTAAGATCATCACAATTAATATATAGCAAAGTTGATCTTAGTATGCATTATATAAATCTCAAATCGAATTGTTCTGTCATTAAAGCCGCCCTTGTTGGTGGGATGTATCCTAATATATGCGTATTGGATTCTAAGGTTAATCGTATTAAATCGCCCTGCAGAAGAGAAATGGTTTTACATCCAATTCTGTTTTGCGACATAGGATTTATGTGTTCGTTGAATTCTGGTTTAGTAGACTAATAATAATATCCGACGAAAATTTTAATAAGTTAAACAACTATGTACGTAAAATTCATAATTATTCTGACTCACCTTTAATCTGTTAAAATATTTTTGTACAGGATGTAGGTATGAAACCAGCAGCTAACTATCCATTCTCCTTCTCTCAATCTATATATAAAAGGCTTGCGTGACTGATTGACTGACTGATTCATCATCGCCCAGCCCAAACCGTTAAAGCTAGAATCATGAAATTTTGGTTATAGGTTCCTTTGGCATTGTATAGATCCACTAAGAAGGGATTACGTTTAGGGGAAGAAATACGTAAAAAAGGATAAATTAGTATCCTTTATATCTCCTAAAGAAGCAAAGATATAAATAAAATTCCAAATGTATCCTCTATTATACAAAAAAATAATTGATAGGTGTCTGGTACTTTTTTTAAAAATCTAGACTAAAATCTAAAAAAAATCTAGAGCTAAAAGGGTAAAAACTGTCCCCATAGAACCTTCTCTTAACCTATTATGTTCGAAACAAATGACCATGCAAATAAAACTTTAAATTTATCCTATTATAATTAAAGTCTATTAGAAATCCTTTCGGTACTTTTTAAAAATTCGGATAATGAAGGGATGAAAACGGTGTCTAAAATTGGCTTGCTGCCCGCTACTACTTCGTTAGCGATAAATTTTTGGCATTAATTAAATTTTGAAAACAACACATTATACGATTTTTTAATTAATATGGAATATACATATGTAAATAATTTTCACATATGTAATTACTGAAGTTTTGTATTCTCAAAATATCATACAATTTATTAAACTTATTTTATTTTTTCATCAACATCCGAGATTTTGGATTAACAGGACAGAGCTACGTGCAACTTTGTGGCTTTGCCTCCGTAAAATATACATACCTAAACTAAAACGGCCCTAACTAAAAAAATTCAAAATCGACATTTCATTTTCTGATGTGTTACATCAAGCCAAATGTTCAAATGGGCCCTATCTTCAAAAGCAGTTTTATATAAAGGCTAAAAGACGTAACTAATCATTTGTAAATACAAATTGTAAATTGTCAAAACAACTGAGAAATTTACCGTTAAAAAATGTCTTTTGAAGAAAACAAATTTTTTTTGCTTCTCCTGTAGAATTTAAAAAATATTAAATAGGCCATTTTTGCGTTTTATGTGACGACATATGTATAAAAACAAATTATATTGTTTCTATCATACAACTACTTTAGAAATCTCCAAAATTACCGGATGAGGAACGAAAAGGTAAAAATTATTCCCTTTGTGCAGATTTCCATTCAACTGGAACCCTGCGTTTTTAATTTATGCCTCTAAGTCCAATTATATAAAAAAATCAGAAAGTAGAGCGAAAAAGTACCAAAAGTCCCTTTCTATAGATTTCCATTCACTCCATATTTTATGTTTCTACGAAAACTCAAAAAGTACCAGCTGAAGAACATTCATACCCAGCAAAAAATAATTGATGTCATACTTTACAAACGACATCTTAATCACATCTAAAAATGTGATTGCATACTTTTCGCTTTTATAAACCAAACATATACTTACAAATTAAAACACAGTTAAAAATGAGAAAGGAGATGTAGAAAAGTCACTACAAACAACATATTCGAAGTACTTCAAATTTTGATGAAATTTACATAAGCGTTTCATTAAAAGAATGTGGTTTATTTTTGACATACAAATATCGGATTTTTACAGCTTCTAAAGATAAGATTAGATGTAGTTCAAAGTTGTCAGAAATGAACAACATCCCTCCAATGACACGCTAATGTAAAATTCATAGGTTTTTCACCTGAATTTGAAGCACTTCGGGTTACTAGTTCCCAGCAAAAAATAATTGATGTCATACTTTACAAACGACATCTTAATCACATCCAAAAATGCGATTGCATACTTTTCGCTTTTATAAACCAAACATATACTTACAAATTAAAACACAGTTAAAAATGAGAAAAGAGATGTAGAAAAGTCACTACAAACAACATATTCGAAGTACTCTTCAAATTTTGATGAAAAACCAATGAAATTTACATAAGCGTTTCATTGAAAGAATGTGGTTTATTTTTGAAATACAAATATCGGATTTTACAGCTTCTAAAGATAAGATTAGATGTAGTTCAAAGTTGTCAAAAATGAACAACATCCCTCCAATGACACGCTAATGTAAAATTCATAGGTTTTTCACCTGAATTTGAAGCACTTCGGGTTACTAGTTGTGATGAAAATTCTACATCTTTTTCCACACTTTTTTTGCTGGGTTGTGATGAAAATTCTACATCTTTTCCACACTTTTTTTGCTGGGTACAGATTTCCATGAACAGAACCCTGCGTGTTTAATTTTATGTTTCTGACCAATATTATTGAAAAACTAAAAAAACACCCTTTGAAAAACTACAAAGTACCCAAAAAAGTCCTCTTATATTAAAGAAAACATAAAAGGTATTCGTTGAAAAACGAAAAAGTACTAAAAGATCGCATTTAGATACTCACACACTGTGGACCCTTCATGTTCAATTTCATGTTTCTAGGTTCAATATTATAGAAAATTCAAAAAGTACCTTTTAAAGAACACTTTATATCGTTCCATGTTGTATATTCTCTTTAAACGTTTAATTAATACCAGTAATAGATCGAAAAAGTAACCAAAAGTCTCATATTATAGTGTATAATGCCTTTAGGAAGGCCTCTTTACTACCACTTTTTCCCGCTGCGAACTGCTGGCTACCATGTTACCGCCAACTGCTATTGAAAATAAATTAACTTTTGTCATCTCGTATTCATTTAATCCGGATTATCTACATGGCGTTGCTCTTGCGGAATGGGCTAATGGACTGTTAAAGTTGCATTTTTTGCTTTAAATGTGACATATGTAGATCTTCTTGATATTCTGTAAGTAATAATCATATGTATTTTCAAAAACCTTTTATTTGGGAAAATATACTAGAGATCAGGATGCACTAAGTTATTACAATCATGCTAGAGATGTTTAGTTTATTTTAAATGATTGTGTTAAATGTAAACATTAGAGGATAAATACTTGTTGACTTCAAAATATTCCTTGTTATTTACCTACCTTTGGGGGTATAGTGATGGCTTTTTGTTATTGTTTTGAAAACGACTGCTAAAGTTGAAAAAACAAACTGGACAAATTATTCTGGCCATGAAATAATCCATAATAGAAAAAAGTTGACGCCCATCGGTAGTGGCTAGTCGAAATTCGTATTCTATCAAGCAAAGAGCCAAAATATGGTGATTGCTACTTGTTGCTATGTTTGGTTCCGGTACTAACCATTGTGGGCTTTATGTCGACTATAGATCCCTTAGAGTTGTCACACTATATGAATCATTTAAATGAACCCTTCAAAGATTTATTGCGTCATAATATAAAAGAAGAAAAACAACGTTTATTTGAAGGTATTCCTTCCGATCACTTGATATTCTTGCGTCTGTATCAAGAATGGAAAAATTACTTTAGAAATGAGGAATTGGTTTTTGATTTTAATATAATTTCATTTGAATGGCCTGTTGGAACAGGACTGCAATATCCGTACTCAATTAGTTGGATCCTTAAGATCATCACAATTAATATATAGCAAAGTTGATCTTAGTATGCATTATATAAATCTCAAATCGAATTGTTCTGTCATTAAAGCCGCCCTTGTTGGTGGGATGTATCCTAATATATGCGTATTGGATTCTAAGGTTAATCGTATTAAATCGCCCTGCAGAAGAGAAATGGTTTTACATCCAAATTCTGTTTTGCGACATGGGATTTATGTGTTCGTTGAATTCTGGTTCACCGTGGATAGTGTACGGAAAAGAAAAAAATGGTTCCAGTTGTAATGGTGTCAAATGTAATACTGTTGTGACGCCCATTACTACAGTTGATTTGTTTGCAGGTGAGTTTAGTAGACTAATAATAATATCCGACGAAAATTTTAATAAGTTAAACAACTATGTACGTAAAATTCATAATTATTCTGACTCACCTTTAATCTGTTAAAATATTTTGTACAGGATGTAGGTATGAAACCAGCAGCTAACTATCCATTCTCCTTCTCTCAATCTATATATAAAAGGCTTGCGTGACTGATTGACTGACTGATTCATCATCGCCCAGCCCAAACCGTTAAAGCTAGAATCATGAAATTTTGGTTATAGGTTCCTTTGGCATTGTATAGATCCACTAAGAAGGGATTACGTTTAGGGGAAGAAATGGGTAAAAAAGGATAAAATTAGTATCCTTTATATCTCCTAAAGAAGCAAAGATATAAATAAAATTCCAAATGTATCCTCTATTACACAAAAAAATAATTGATAGGTGTCTGGTACTTTTTTTAAAAATCTAGACTAAAATCTAAAAAAAATCTAGAGCTAAAAGGGTAAAAACTGTCCCCATAGAACCTTCTCTTAACCTATTTATGTTCGAAACAAATGACCATGCAAATAAAACTTTAAATTTATCCTATTATAATTAAAGTCTATTAGAAATCCTTTCATTACTTTTTAGAAATTCGGGTAATGAAGGGATGAAAACAGTGTCTAAAATTGGCTTGCTGCCCGCTACTTTCGTTAGCGATAAATTTTGGCATTAATTAAATTTTGAAAACAACACATTATACGATTTTTTAATTAATATGGAATATACATACAGTGTCTCTCATAAGTATTCGAATTTAGGTAAACTATGAAAAGAAACTAAATTTAATAATATATTTTGTGTGCAAAAAAAAAAATTAATTTGTTATATTGTCTAGACAGTCCTTAGGTTTGATATCACGCTTTTTAAAACTTGAAAAATTTACATTTACTTAAATTAATTTAGCTTTTTTTAAAAATGTCCATAAAATTGCCTCACAAAAGTATACGAATTTTTCCTGTTGTTCATATTTGAGCATATTATACGAAACACAAATTTTAGAATCGACTGGTTTTTATGCTTTAAATTATTTTAGGGGGTTACTATCAACCGAAATGATATATTTTTGGCCCATTTGGTCCACAATTTTTGGGGATTTGTACCCTCTTTTTATGTAATACCATTAAAATGGCGATTTTTGGCAATATTTGTAGTATTTTCTCTTTTTTTCCAGAGATAAGACCAAAGTTTGATATTGGGATTTAATAGACCCCTTGGAGTATCTAAAAATAGCATTTTTTGTTACAAAAATCTGTATTTAAACGATCCAAGATATATTATTGATATCATTATTCTGTCGCTAATTCAATATATTGGAACTTAAGTCCATTTTCATAATACTAGGGTAAAAAATTTTCGGGGAAAGTTTTCTTGTATATATTCTTGTAGATATCAGCTTTTATATATTTTAAGTTTTCAATGTA